GCCCGCCGCCGCCACCTGCCCCGGGCCGGCGCCATGGTGAAGCTCGCTGCCAAGTGCCTGCTGGCAGGTGAGTCTGGCCCGCCCTCTCCCATCCACCCCGCTGGCCGCAGCGGACTCTAGAGCGGGCGCCGTGGGGTAGGGCGAGGCCGACGGCGCAGGCGACCCGGCCTCCCACAGCCCCTCGTGGAGGGGCCGCCACGCCGGAGAAGAGGTGGGGAAAGAGGCAGCGGGACATAAGTGAGGATCTCGGCTGCTTGGGGACGGGAACAGTGGGAGTCGCGTGTGTCATTACCGCTTGGTACCCGCCCCTGTCTGCCACGTGGAGTCGAGCTGTGCCCAGGGAGGGTGTGAGGTGTAGTTGGATCGGCTGAAATCCAAAGACAGGATCTGAAAAAGGAAAAAAACCCCAAACCCAAACCAAAAAGAGTATTTCTGTAGTATGGAAAGGTGGGCACAGAGACTGGAGAAAGCGTGAAGGGAGCAGGGTGCAGCTGAGTCCTGCCTCATTTGTGAGTCTTGCTTTGGGCTGATGGGAAAACTTCATGTCAGAAATTAGGATGATGCTGAGAGTATGGTAGAAAGGTAAAGCCTAAACAAAGAGTAGAAGGATGAAGCATGAGCACTTCACAGTTGCATCTTTTTCGCTAAACAATTTGGAGGCTAACCTGCGGAAAAAAATGAAGTGAAGACACCAGTTTGTTTAGTCAGGATGGATTATGGAGGTGCTGAAAGTAAGTACAGCTGGCTGTCCACATATTGTGAAAAAAAACTTTAATTTTTCCCCTCCCTCTACATTGAAGCTCTGCGCAGCCTCAGCCAAAAGCACAAATCCATAAAACCTTTGTGTGCAGTCAACTCCCAGGTTTAATTCTTCATTCCAAATTATTTCATACAGAATAAAATGTTTGCCTTTTTTAACCTCAGAAGCATCTGACCATCAGCTCACACAAAACCAGATGTGCTCTTTGGCAAAGGCAAAAGAATTAATCTCCCTTGTGGCACTGCTGCTGTGAACAGTATGAGTATCTTGCCTGTCTTCTACACTTGAAACGTAGGCATCATTTCCAATTTGGAAATTTCCTGCTCCCAATATACTGGCTTTGCTGAAATCTATCCAGTTTTGTTGTTCAGTGTTACCAAAGGCCAATTCCACGACCATTTTAAATTCACATAATTTTTCTTTGGATGACCTGTTTATGTCCTTAATCCTTATTGGGTCTGGAGCAGCCTTTTCAATTCTGTTCACAGCACAAAGAATAGGAAGGTCCTATCCCGTATGTCATTCTTCCATGTGCTACAATAATATCCATGTATTATTAAAAGTAATAAATTCATGAAGCAGACCAGGCAAAATAGAACCTCTGTTGCAGAAAAAAAACACTGCAGTGAAAGGGACCTAAGATATGAGTAACCACGACAACCTAAAGGAAACAAGAAAATGCAATTACGTAGATAGGAGCAAACCCATCAGAAATGGAACTGGGAGCTCTTGTGGACTTATAGAAATGGTAATAAAGAGCCAGTGACACAGAATTCGGAGGGACACCAAGGTCAAAGAGAAGAGGGGAAAAGGGCTCTTATTAGCAAAACAGAGACTATTAAATTGACAATAGAAGTCGATTCCTGTGTTATCTCAAGGGTCACCAAGAGTAAAGTACCTGTTGTCTGAGCTTACTTTGGAGACACTACATGAAGGTTTTCATTGTAGAGAAACAACCAGCAGTAGCAGGCAGTTTTGACACATGAGACTAAACTGAAAAGGACAAGGAAACTTTGTGTGAGTGTACTGGTGTGATAGACTAAAGAGGATGGCAAAGAATAGAAAGAGGGAAGAAACACCTGGGGCTGTCAAGTGAAAGAAAGGCAACGCATTAGTTAAGAATTTGTGCTGGCTGATGCCTGCACAGTTTGGAGCAATGTGTGCCTCTCTATCTCATTTTACAAAGACAGATCTAATTGTCTATTGAAATACAGAATAGCTCACTTAGAACAGAGTGTTGTCTTCCGCACAGGCTTGAGCTGATCAGAGAACAAACAAGCTGACTTACCAGATTTTCCTGTCTAAATATTATGAGCCCAACTCAGCTTAAAGTAAGCAAGCATGCTAAAAATGTTTAAACAAGAACTACATTTGGTTAATGCATCTAGGGGTAATTGTCATTATCCAAAACACCTTTCCTCCTCTGTAATAGTATGTGAGCAGAAAGCTTTACCAATTTCCTTCAAAACACCATTAGGAAGCCATAACAGAGTCAAAAATATACTCCTTTCTTGGTTTATTCATTAACAACATAATGTAAAATACCTCCTTTCTGGCTTTATTTATTAAGAACATAATGTGAAAGACTTGTATTCCAGGCTTGGCTGTTATGAGTGTGCCTTTAAGGGTAAAGCTTTAATCACTGAGGTGTTTAATTACTGGCTCCTATCCTTTTAACTATGCAGGCTAGCAAGACATTATGTGGAGAAATGATAAGCTCTTTGGAAGCATTAAGGCTTTGTTTAGAAAGGGGTATGATTTATGGTTTTTTCCATGTAGTAATACAGGCATATGTGAGCTCTGCAGAGCCTGAGGAAATGGCCTGAAGTTGTGTCAGAGGAGGTTTAGGCTGGATATCAGGAAAAGGTTCTTCACCCAGAGGGTGACTGGGCTCTGTAACAGCTCTCCAGGGAAGCGGTCACAGCAACAAGCCTGGCAGAGTTCAAGAAGCATTTGGGCAGTATTCTTGGGCACATGGTGTGACTCTTGGGTATGGTCCTGTGCAGGGCCAGGACCCCGTGATCCTTGTGGGTCCCTTCCAATTCAGTGTATTTGGTGATCCTGTGATTGCTTTGGATCTCACAGAGTTTTGTAAGAGCAGGCCAAAGCAGGCAGCTGCCAGGTTTGTCTGATGTGTGCAAGCCATATCAGAAAGCCTTGGTTCTAGAGGAGCAGAAGCCAAAGCCCCTTGCTTTCCCTTCTACACAGGGATGAATCAGCAGGCTCTTCTATCCAGCCATGTGCTTTCTCCCTGACATTTGCTTCTGTTATGCCCAGGATGCAACTAATGAGCCACCAGCAGTATTGAGTCAGCAAGAGTTGCTCTCTTAGCAGGGTCAGCAAGAAGAGTTCATTGAAAAACATTACCAGCTTAAGCAGCTTTGTCTCAGTATATAACAAGGATTTGAGTCTGGGGAAATGGATAACCTAAGGAGAGGAAATAGCCTCCTAGGAAGCCCAGTCCCTTATCACATTGCAATTTTCACTACATGGTAACATATCTGGGAAATTTTAATTCCTGGGTAAGGGCTGTGGAGTAGGCATGAAGTTCAGAACAAACAGCAGTTCCACCCTGATCTGGCAGTTCTTTGCTGTTGTGTATAGGTCAAAAATCAGGTGTCAGCCACTAGTACACATAATGGCAATATTCATTTAATTGTGTGGGTATTACCTTTTAGATAGTTTTGTGTTTCATGGGACACTTAAATTGCCTGTATTCAGAGTTAGAGCATCTAGGCTCTTACAACATGTGATAGTAACAAAACTGAGGAAAAATAAGATTCTTAAGTATGAAACAAAAATATTTTATATTTTTTGTTTTGCAGGAGATCCAGCTGTGGGCAAGAGTGCTTTAGCCCAGATGTTTCGCAGCGATGGGGCTCATTTTCAGAAGAACTACACACTGGTAAGCATATAACAGGCTCGGACTGCTGTCTAATATTTTTCTAAGATGAACAGGAAAACTGAGAGGCCTAGAACAAAATAAATATGATTTTAAGCTGAGGCATTCAAGGTGGGATCTTAGAGGATTTTCTTTCTTACACCCTAGATTCTAAAGAGAAAAATTTAACGTTCTGTAAGTCTGCATTATGTAGGTGCTGTTGAAACTTAACGTAGAATAATTTAGTTAATCTTGTGATTTTCCTGCTGAACCAATGTTTTCATAAGGTTTTGTGGTGTTAGAGAGCTCCCCCCTTTAGGGACTACTCTATGAAAAAACACTGCTGAAGGAGAAAGCTTTTAATTCCAACTATTAAATGTGCATGTGGACAGTGCGCTTATCGCTGTGCAAACACCAAGATGTGCTGCATAGCCCCAAGATAATTATAATCTACAGAAACTGTTCCCAGATGAAGAGGATACAGTTTGCAGTCTTTCAGTGTAAGAATCAATGGTGATGACTAATCAGAAGCAGGATAAAAATAAAAGTAAATATAAGTAAAGTAAAAAAAGGAAAATATGAGTGTGGAGGAAAAAAACCCTAAAATATGTTTGTTCATTGAAATAAAGATGGAAACCAGAATTTAAGGATAGAAATAGAACAAGCAAATGAGCTACAAAGCAGAATAAGATAAAAAGTGGAAGAAGCACAAATAATCTCAGTCCCATATGTTAGCTCATCACATGGTTAGTGCAAAACGTTCTAAGGCGTGCGTTAGAGCGGCAGTGTGAGAGTGAACGTAGAACTTCAGACTTCAGCTAATACTCTGAGCTGTATAGAAGGAAATCTCTTTGGTTTTCCTCCTTTTTCCTCCTTCTGAGCAAATCTACAAGTCTTTGACATATTGTTGAGATTAGGTTACCAGAGCTAGAAGGAATATTGCTGAGTTTCCAGCGGTCTGTGTTTGATGGAATCGTAATGATTCACAAGAATTGCCTCAATCCAGTGCATGGTTGGTATGCAGTTGGACAGGCTCTTGAAAACTCTCCTGATCCTCATTTTCCTGATTCTTCTTGACAGACAGCGGGCATAGAACTGTTGGTGAAGGCTGTATCAGTTCCAGAGACAAGTGATAGTGTGGTGAGTTTTTCTGTGACATAAATAGGGTCAGAAAGAGACGTCCAGAACTCAAGCCCCACACGAGTCTCATTCTGGTGGAAGATCACTATGCATGTTCATAGGGCAATTAAGTTATATTAAGGAAATGAGGCTGACCATGTATAATTGCTGATACTTAAGGGTTAGTTTAATCTTAAAAATGTAATTTCTATATGCTTGTATCCAACACAACATTTTAAACCAAAGTTATTGCCAGCTTTGTTGAGATTTTATTCTATCCTTTGGGGCACTCAGGTTTAGTTCACGATTCTTGGAACTACAGAAGCTGAAGCTTATCTGTTATTTTTCCTTAATGCCTTATACTCCCACTAATGGAATGTATATAATTTTGTATAAGTAAAGGTTAGTGTCCCACTCCACATATTCTGTTTCCAGTAGGGATGGAAACTAGATTTCGGGCCTTGGAAGTAACTCGTTTACTGCTTGTATTTATAAAATGGCTATTTATTTTCTCATACTATCTGGAGTTTTCTCAGTGCAGGCATCCTGGTTTAGGGCAAACCTCCAAATGGAGTCCCTCTAGAAAAGCAGATTCCAGCAGCCCCTCCTCCAACTGGTTCGGGAAAAGATTTCCTTGGAGAAAAGTGGAAAAAAATGTTTTTTAACAAGCAAACTATTCACAAGCATGAAAAATGAATAATATTAAATAATGAAACCTCTTGCTGTTCTGTAGGGATGGCAGATTCAGAAAGTCCTTGTCATGGGGTGTAGCTCAGCTCACTCAGTCTCTTATCTGTCCCTTCAGTTCTGGAATGCAACCTCCCAGCCCCTGGTGGGCCACAGGCGTGAGCTCCCAGTGTTCTTCTGGGTTTTCAGTCCAGAGTGGGTTTGAACAGTTCCAAGCAAAAGAAAAAAAAACACAGTCCAGGGTACTTCTCTGCCTCAGCTAGCTAAAAACTAACTAAATGCAAAGGAGAGCTCTGTCCCACTGTCTGTCCATGCTGTCCATGCTGCAGGCAGCACAGTCTGGGAGCAAGATGTGGTGGAGTGAGTGCAGTTTCTGGTAACAAACTCCTAACTTTTCTCCTGCTTTGCTCTCAGAACCAGTATCAAAGGTGCAGAGCTCAATGTCCAGCATAAACAGGACAACTGGGGATACAAGCATCATAAAGGACATCCCCAGGACAGTGGGGAATTTGTCCCTTAGAGACATGGCACTGCTTTACTGAATAAAATGCTGGACTTACAAGTTGCAGTATTTATTTCCAAAACCTTTCCCTACACTGCATTTTTCTTGGCAAAAGCCTTCTTTCTGTTTCCGCTTTCAGGAATTCTTCATTTTTGACTCTGCAGGAAAAGATCTATTTTCTGAAATGCTGGAGAAACTGGTAAGTCTTATGTAACAGTCCTCTTCTTCCAAAGAAGTGCTTTTGCTTTGAAGATCTGAGCTCCCCACTCTGGCAGATGTAGCAAACTTTGTCTTTAGTGTAAACGGGAGCAATTACCTCAGTTGCCAATGCATCCTGTTCTACCTCTCTAAAACTTGTATAAGTACTGGAAGAAATACTTTCCAAAGAAAGGAAAGCAGATAGGCAGTTTTCTTACAAAAGAAATAGGGAATATTAACTGAGAATTTCTGTGTACTGTTGTTTAAAGTTATTTTTATTTCTTAGAAAAACATCTGTTTTGCTGCAACTTCAACAGTGGGAGGGCTTTTTTTTGTGTTACAGTGATGTGTTTGATCCAACAGAATTTGTTCTTGTCCTTGAGCATAATCCTGCCCTTGGGTTTTTTCCTTCACATATTTGTGACCTTCCCTGTACAGTTCTCTACTTCTACTGTGTTATCTCAATTTGAGAAGCAGAATCAGTTAATTAATGTGAGCTTTCATAAAATGGCTAAGTCAACCTAATGGTTCATTGTCTACAAGAGCAATTCCACTTTTACACTTGCACTAGATCTGGTTTGCAAGGGACTTCTCTAGAAGCTGGTTCAGCTTCTCAAAGTGGAAGAAAACCTTTCTACTTTTTTTCCAGGACTAATTTTGTGCTGATTCAGCATGAAAAATCAGCTTCCCTGGAGATCAGATGAGTGCCAGAGCTGATACAAGTAAAGGGGCAGGACTGCCCAGACACAACTAGGGAGGAAAGCAAGACCATCTCTCCCAATGTCAGTGATTTAGTAGGGTCAACTGAAATGTGAAACCTCAGCCAAGGCATAGGATTCCTGGGTGTTAGGCTTTTTATTTTCATCTTAGCAGCTGTGTTTGCCATGTTTACAGCCTGGCTGTTGACCTCATCAGTTTCATTAGAGCTGACAGTGTTCCTTTCTTGCTGTGCAGTGGGAGCAACCCAACGTCCTGTGCCTTGTGTATGATGTCACTAATGAGCAATCCTTCAACAACTGCAGCAAATGGTTGGAGAAGCTGAGGGCTCAAGCAGTTGGGATGCACATCCCAGGTAAGAATGGGGTGTGATTCTTGTTACCTACTCCCCTCTTGTATGACAGCAGTTGTTTCTGTTGAGCTGTGGAATAGAGCATTTATTTTAAGTCGGAGCAGACATGGATTCCTCTAGCTCCTTTGCTTTTATCAAAAAGCAGATAAGGCTTGAATATGTTTCTTTTTTGGAATATTTTCTAGGTAGTTATATTCTCCACACCTTGAACTTTTTAAGCTACTTCTGAAAATGTTCCAGTATTTATGGCTTACAAGTCAGCATTGATGAGCCGTGTTTTTTTCCTTTTCTTTCATGTCTTTCTTTCTGTAGGTGTCTTAGTGGGGAATAAAACAGACCTAGCTGATCGTCGAGTTGTGGAACAGGAACAAGCACAGGAGTGGGCTGAGAAACATGGCCTGGAATACTGTGAGATGTCAGTGGTGAGTATCTGCTCCTTTCACCATCTGTGCAAGGAGATGTTTGTAAAGTTATCTTCTCTTTCAGGCAGAGAAAGATAACTGGGGACTCTCCTCCCCTCGTTTGTCATCTAACTCAGTTTTAATCCTTCTTTGGTGAAACAGAACAGAAATAGTCAAATGATTGTTCCATCTGCAATTCACAACTTTCTCCTTTCTTTACAGAAGGAAATGAAAAATTTTGAGGCCCCATTCCACATTCTGGCAAAATTATTCCACCAACTGTACAAAGAGAAAGTGGAAACTTTTCACTCACTAGCCTGACTGGTATGATTTATTTATCCTCTAAGCTTCTTCTAGTACTGAGAATCCTGCTGGATTGAATACAGAGAGAAGAAAAAATATGAGCTATTTGCTACTTCATGGTCATCCTCTGGTAATTCAAAATAAACTAGAAATAAGCAAGTGGAAAGACACTCTTCTGAAGCTGCTACCTCAGCATTCCTTTCATGTCTTCTAACTTGGTTCTCTGCTCATTGAAAATCTGCTAGGTTGGAGGAGGCGGAGAGTAAAAGGGGAGGACAGAATGGAAATTGCCAGCTCTTTGCTTTGATATCTTTTTGTCTGAACAGACTTCCTGCTGCTACAAGCAAGGATTTAGAGGTTTGGAAAAGCAGAGAGGAAGCTGACAGGATGTTTTTCGACTTAAGCCAGCCTTGATACATACACTGCAGGGCAGGACCGATTTGGCCCTACCCCCTGAAAAGCATTTTCAGGAGGAGGCTTACAGCCCTAAAATCAACACCTGGAGACTGAGATGTGTGGGGGCAGAGCTGGATTTAGGTGTGTTTCCAGGAGTGCCCAGAGTCGGAGGCCAGTTTTAACGGTGTTGCCCTTATCAGTTGTAGGACTGATATGCTGGTGACTAACGCATGTTTCTAATTTCCAGAATCTGTTTCTTTCCTTCGGCGTGGCTCACTGTCCCTGCCTGGTGGGAGCTGCGTCGCGTCCAACCGCTGTCGCTTGGTGACGCAGTGCCCTCTGCTGGTCCCAGGTCACAGAAGTTCTCCAGAGGCTGCCACCTCCCTTGGAGTGAGCCAGGAACGGCTTCCTGCAGCCGCATCCAAATTGGATAAACTGCAGAGTGGAGTCAAATTGCGAGAATACCTTTTCTATTTTAAAGATTAAAACTTATAAAAAATTGCCTTTTCTTCTAAATGTCTTTATCATCTTACATATTGTTGTGTCATTTTTGTCAGCTGAATTTGGCAATACCATTCTGATTAGGTGCAGTTCTCAATCTGAAAATCAGAGTCCTCTTATTAAAGTCTCTCTGCTTGTCATTGAATTTCAGATAAAAGACCATGGTTCTGATGTTGCTAGTGGAAACAGGACTAAGGAAATGAAAGTCAGCCTGGCTAAGTTACTCTGACTCAGCTGTGTCTGGCTAGAAGTTTCATATTAGAAAGGGTAAAAGCCTAGAGAGAGTTGCTCTTTTGTGTGCAGTACTGATGTTGCATATGTAAGAGTCTTTGCTAATGCAGTATGCAGAAGCACCTGTGGTGAGGTCCTGCCTTGTAACTGAGCCTAACACCAAGAATTGCAAAAATTTAACCATTATCTTCCAGATTATGGTAGACCCCCTTAGGCAAGGGAAGCTGAGTTTTGTAGAGACTAAGCACTGAGTGATTTTTCAGGCAGTCTTTTCAGGAATCTGTGTTTCAAGAGTTTTATATGTGTGGTTTATAATAACTTTTATGCCCAGTGCTAGGAAAAGTACATTAAATTGAACATAAGAAATATGGCTGCAGATGTTGCAGCAGAGTTTATGAAGCACTTGAAGAATCTGGAGAAGCACTGCCCTCATTTCACTGGCAACAGTGTGTTGATGCTGGGAACTCACTAGGGAGTATGAATACCAGTTAAAGAGGGTGAGTAGGAACTCAATCTACAAGAAGTGAAAACAAGAGGTTCTTTTGCTAGAAGCCAACTCAAAAATGGCAGAACAAGGTGGGGAAACTCCTACTTTCTCCAAAAAAGGAAGGGGTCCTCCATGAACTTAGGGTAACAAGAAGACTCACTCTTTTTAAAATTGGATTAGCATTACTGGCATTTGTGTCTTACATGGGTTGTCTTGTTAATCCTGGGTATTTTCTGTTGATTTACATAGGCTGTATAGATGCTTGCTTGCAGGTGCTGATGTCTCTGAATAGTAAGAATAAAAGCTATTTTGGATGCTGTGCTGATCTTGTTAAAGAACTAAAGAAGGTTTGTTTTTATTTGGTATTTCATTTCCCCCTGCTTCCATTGATGATGTGATCACAAAACAAGACACATATTTTTTCATATTGAAAATAACATAGCAGACGTGTATGTCACCTGTGACATTGTGTATCTAGGGGGGATGAATGCCTTGGGAATAGGTAATAAAATGAATTCTGTGCAATCTTTAACCAGGGAGCCCATCTCTCTGCACCTGAAGGACCTCCCATAAATTCAAATAAACACTCTGAAAGCACCAGTAAGATGAATACTGGTGAATGCTGTTTTATAAAATAAATGTAAAAGCTGGAGGAGCTCATTAAGGGAATGTTTGCAGTGGTGATTTGTGATTTATAGGGAAGCTGCTTTTGAGAAGTTAGTGAAGAAAAATGCTGCCCATGCAGGGAAAGATGTATTGCCTAAGAGAGGAAATGCATGATGTAATTACCTTATAGTAGGGATTCACCCACTGCCCCTTTCCCTCTTCCACAGACCACAACTACAATTAGAAAAGAAATCGTGTCTAAAGCATGTTGTCCAACTTGCTTCTTACAGGACTATTTCAAGCACTAATGTGGACACGATTTAATGCCTTTCAAAATAGTGTGTTTGACAACAATCTCAACCACTTCAAATGCATTTTAACAGCATAATATATTGTCCTTCCTGGCCAATGTGCTGTATAATACCAGCCTGATGCAAGTGGTGGTCATTGCTATTTTCCTGGCTTAAATGTGACCTTGGTTGTAGAGGCTACGAGCGCAGAAGGGGTAAAAAACATGGGAGCCAAACATGGGAAGGTTGTGGGAAATAGTTTTGTTTCTGTTTGAAGAAGTTCAGGGTAGTGACTAAGTGAGCTGGACCAGCAGGATGAGTAAGAGTCTGGAGCCATTATTAAGTTGCTTCTCCCTGTTTACTAACTGTGGCAGTCACATCTGTAGAACGAGGATGCATGTTTACTGCTTGTAGGCTTAGCATCAGTCTGAATTACAGATGCTGTGGAGAACAGTGGGAGAAAGACAGGAAGCCTGTCTTCTGACCAGGAGGCCTCTTGTCTTCTTACAGCTCCCCTGCTTTGTCCAGCTGTGCAGTGCTGCAGGTGCTCAGCATGAGTGTTACAGCACAGAAAAGACCCAGCTCAACCAGAACTGAAATTTCAAAAGAAGGGGAAGGAAACAAACAAGCCTTTAACTGGTTTTAATAGATATGTAGTCCTTTTTCCTGCTTGCTTGTTTGATTAGACAAAACCATTTCTTTCCTCCCGGGAGTCCCTCCTTCTTACCTTTCCTTTGGTCCTCATGGGTCTGCACAAAATCTCTGTTATACTTGTGCCCTGCTTTACTTAGCTTGATACATCACCAGCTGATTTTTTTTTTAATCCTTCTAATTTCTGCATTATCTATTCCCAAGGCTGCAAGACATTTCTTCTTAGATTAATAGACTAAAGGAAACAAAAGTGGAATTTTTAGACAAATTGTCTTGGAAAAAAAAGCCTTAAGAAGCTGTCTGACATTCTGAAATTTTACTGGAAATTCGTTTGTGTAAAGTTGTCATATTAAAGATGCTTTAATGGTTTTGTTTTGTCTTGCCAGACATAGTCTACTGCAGAGTGAAATTCAGGATGTAAAATTCCAGAAAGATCAGGTTTTATTGTGGGAATTAATAGGAGTTTCAAAGCTGATCACGCTGTGATAAGATCTGTTAAGTCTTAACAATGGAGTGGTCACTGCTGTTCATAATGAAGCATTAAATACACTGAAACAGGGCTGTCAAAACAGTTTCTTTTAGAGATTTGTTCATTTTAAAGACTTTAAACTTAAGAAAGGACATCTTTTAAAAGACTGATCTGATAAATGACACCATTTGGACCAGGGTTATTTCTGATATAACTTCAGTGACTTAAAGAGCTGGATTTAGTCTTTTATGCCAATTGACTCCCCTGGGTAAGCTTCATTTCTTTACCCACCGTACATCTTGGACCAATCTGACCTGATAGCAAAAGACACATGATGTTGTTGAAAATGAAATACTGCCTTGGGGCAGAAGGATAAACTGTGTGGCCTCCTGAGGTCCTCCCAGCAATACTTTCTATAATTCTATTAGATTAAGTGAGGAAAGAAGTAGCGTGGAAAGCACAAAACAGGCTAAGTCATAAACTAGCAATTAAACTGGGAGCTGGGCTGGGCTGCAGCAGAAAACGTACAATCTATCCCAATTAAGAGCTGTATCTCAAGAGAAACTGGGAGCCTGACGCAGGTGCTGACAGCAGGGAAAACACTGCATTTCTGTTCTGGAGGCAGCAACTGCTTTCTGCTGGTGCTTATGCAGATCTGTGGGGGTCCTTACGCAACTCGAGGCTGTGCTCTGTTTTTAATAATTACTGAATCTATGATGTTGAGGTGGCAGTTGCTTACAGTTGTGGTCTCATCTGCCTGCACAAAGTTGGCAGCATGATGGCAGATTATTTGCTAGTGGCAGGAAGACATCCCTATTATTGACACCTGCGTCATGGGACCCATCTGTCCCTATGCATTCTCAGTCCTTTTCCTATCTCATATCTGCTCCTTGATGGACACCATCCAGCTCTGCTTGCTCTTAACAAGTAATTTTTCCATCTTGCAGATGGAAAGAACCTGCAAGAAAGTTCTCTGCAAGAACCTAGGGCTGAGGGACTTCTTGGACCTTCTGCAGCAAAGGAGTCTTCAAGGAGGACTTCAAGGGCCATGTTGGCCTCCACAACATCTCTTTTGGCCTAGGGGCACATCATCTCTCTACTTCTCGTGTCCTATTTCCTCCTGCTGTCATTTTGCCTGCAGAGCAATGTCTTCTGTGCCAGTTGCCCTTGGCTCTGTTGACCCGGAACAACAATGCTTGGGGGATGGAAGAAGAAGAGAGCTGCTCAGTCTTGAGCCTTTTCAAGGCTCTTTAGCTGTTGTGACTCCCTGTCGAAGTCACCTGAGAGATGGGGATGTTGCTCGGTCTAGGGTGTAATTTCCTGGCAGGAGACCACCAGCTGAGTCCTGGCAGCCTCATCTCGGCTCTTCAGAGCTTGCTGCAGTGTAACTTTGTCAGACACTGGCTGTTCTCCTTCTAACCTGGGGTTTTGGTGGGAATTTTTGGTAGGGTTTTTTTACTCCTTGGAGGTCTTTTGTTCTTCTCTTATGGCTTCACATATTTCCTCCCCTAGAGCCGTTTGTTAGGAGAAGCTTAGAATTGCTCCCTTTCCTGGTCTCTGAGATCCAATCTGGGAATGTTTAAAAGGAAAATGTGACAGACCCTACATGTCAAGCTGGGGTCAAGGATGGGGTCAGTTTGATGCGTTTCCCTCCAGCCAGATATACATCAATTTGAGATATGTGGAGCCTGTAATCTTCCTGCACAAGAACTAAAAAATAGCCAGTATGAGGGCTGCAAGTTAGGGACTGTGAAGAAAAAGGTATAAAGGCAGAAGTGTTTGACTTCTGTGTCCCAGACAGGGGAAATGCAGGAACAGTAGGGGAACAGAAATATGTAGGAAATATGTAGGTCCCTATTCCTGCATGAAGAGCCCTATGGTTTGCTGAGGCAGATCGAGAGGGTGGGATTTAAGGATAGGAAACCTAAGGCTTTTCCTTTTAGAATGCTGTGTGGAGATAAAGTAGGAGGAAAAGTAATTTTTGCATGAGCCACTGAGGGAAAATGAGGATACAGGGTAGATCTGGATGACCTTGCAGGTGGAAGGGCAAGTGGTAAGAATAAATAACTAAAAGGAGATTTTCAGGGCAAATCTCTCAGGGTTAAGGGCAGACAGGGGGATTCAGAGCCATGATGAGGAAGGTCACTGGTAGCCATCAGTTTAGGCTGAAGATGTAGGGCCTGCATTAGAACAAGGCAGGAAGAGTTAAAGCCTGTGTGACAGCGTTGACACCGGAAATTGAAAGGGCAGTAGCAAGAATACAGAATGATAAACCTAAGAATAGTGTGGGGAGGTAAGAACAGCAAGCTGTGATGCTGTGAGCAGCAGTGGCTGGGGACAGCATGTCCAGGTGAGACCAGAAAAAATAGAGTAGGTATGCTGAGGGCACTAACAGACTATCAGGGTGGAAGATTGTGAAGAGATGTTGGAAATTCATGTTTGAGTACAGCTCTTCTGAGGGAATTTCTGAGCGGAGGGAAATAGATATCTGTAATTGGTACCCACACATCTTCATAAACACATTCAAAACACAAATTAATTCCAGCACTATCTCCACTATCTCTGTTTTCCTTTGCCAAAAAGTATAATGACCTTTCTGCTTAAAACCTTTATTTATTTATTTATTTATTTATTTATTTGGGGGAGGGGGCAACAACACATACATTTATGCCTAATTGTGATGATGCATCATGAATACATTCACAGAATGGAAAGAGAACCTACACCTCCATTTAACCAGGCAGAAATGCCCACTACAACTTGAGCATTGATATCTCACAACAGAAACTTGAGAATCAGTTCATACAGGAGAACGGATGGAAGGAATATTTTCTGTGTTGGTTTCCCTTCTCTGCTTTTGCTAATTCATTTTGATTCCTGTGAAGTGTTGATCTCTCTTAGTCTAACAGTTACATGTGGCCATTGTGAGCCATATCTAGGACTTTGTTTCTGTGATGTTGGATGGCTTCAGTTTGAGGACTGTAAAACTGAAAGTGTTGAGATTTAGGTTACAGTTGAAGCATCAGGCATAAAATCAGCTTGTAGGCACAGCAGAACAGAGTATCTAGGAAAGATGTTTTGCAGGGTTAAGATAATACTTTTCAGTGCTGTTGTCAGCAAAGAGAGGCTGCAATGAATATGAAAATGTTAGATGAGGAATTCTGGGGGGTTTGGAAACAGTAACAAGTGTGGGTTTCTTCTAACAGGTAAATGCAGAGGAAATGATGCTGCAAGTCTCTGGATGGAGGTATCTGGGGAGGTAGTGGAGAAGGTAAAGGAGCATTCTTGGACAATTCCATGGAACTGGATAAGGGCAGGAGGATGGTTCTGGTGTGAGCAAAAGCAGACTAATGCAGACTCTGCCCTCTGGTTTCTGTCCCTATTGAGGTGTGGGGCTATTTCCCTTCAGCAGAGTATGCCATTGCTCTTTATGGCCCTCACAGCTAAGATTGCCAGTAGGTTAGCTTTCCCTGTTCACTGAGATAGAAGTGATCCCTGAATGCTATCTTGGTCCACAGCTTTTTTGATACCTGATTCCTCTTCCCTGTCTATACCTCTTGCCTTTTTCCTCCCTTCTCTGCATGTGGAGGTCTTATATGTCCCCACAATTCTGCTACAACTCCCATGATACCAGCCCTCCCAATGACCTTAAGACTGCTTATTTCCTCCCATGTACTTTGCTTTCCAGGATTAGAAGCTGTGGTCAGAAAAACAGCCAGTGGTCATTCTATTCACTACCACCCTCTCCTACCCCTATCCTTTCCATCTGGTGCTAGGGAAGAGCTTGTGCCCTGTTCAGCTGGCTAGTTCTGGCACAAAACTGGGCTGGTATAGGAGCGAGAGGGCTGTGCCCATGTTGGATGCGTGTCTCTGTGCGGGTGAGGAGCATCTGAGGCAGGCACCCTTTCCTCCTTTTATCAGACTGCGCTCATTTATTATACCATCTGTTTTCCCAGTGCTGGAGATGATGCTGGGGATATGTGACTTGGGGCACTCAGGCAGAAACTGGCCTGCACAAGGCCAGCCATGTGTTTGCCTCCTAGCAATGCAGCGGTCAGCAGCAAATTCTTTGCTGCTGCCTCCTCTCAGTATGGGAGAGAGCAATTGTGGACCTGGGTGTGTAGGAGACACAAAGAAATAAAATATGGCAGGGGGAGGAGGGGAAAGAGACTTTGGGGTACATGTGTATCAGCTGCAGAGAACTGAGGGACAGACAGACAGATGAGCAGAGTTGGGGAGAAGGAAGAAGAATGGATTGAAGGGAGGGAAAAACATAAAGAACCGTGCAGGGAGAGACAAAGAAACAGACTGGCTGGGGGGCAGCAAGAGAAATGCTGTGAAGGAGGGAAAGACAGGCAGATTTGGCAAGGTTGTGGTGTGGAAATCAATGGATTGTCTGTGGGAGAGAGATGTGTGCCAGCCAGGTACTACACTCATAGGTAAGTGGATAACTAGGGCGATGGAGATAAGTTCTGTGTGTGTGTGTTTATACAGGCCTGTGTAAGGGTGAGCTGAATGAATGGGAGTGAGGAAGGGGAGTCATAAGGAAAGAGAAGAGTGAAAGCAGAGCAACAAAAGATCAAAGCTAGATAGAGATGAACCCTTGCAGTGCAAACAAGAGCTGGCATCAGGCAGAGGGGAGGAAGGGATTTGTATGAAAAGGAGACTAACTGCACTCATATGTTGGGGGCTGAGGTTTTCTTATTGGAACGTGAGAGACGACGCAGGGCAGCCATCAGAGCACAATTTCCCTATACTAAACAGAAGCATTTTTATGCATGCAGAGCTCACTGCCAGTGCACAGAGAGACCCAGTGGACCCGGGAATGTAAATGCCACTATGCTAGTGCAGACTGCACTACCTGCTGAACTGCAATTTGTACCTGAGCCTTTGCAACCTG